TTAAGAGTTAAATTGATGTGAATATGCTGTCACTCTGCTTTCTTGCTTTCATTAGATACTCAATTACATTTAAAATTTGACATCACTGATCCGTGCCAAATATCTGAATTTATTCATATGAGGAATCCTTTGAAGCGTTGGTGAAAATTGCTTTCACAAAATCTTAATTATTCACCACGCAGGAGTGCAGATTATCTGAATATAAAAATCTAGAATAGCTGCATTATAATCGCTTGTTCCCTACAATAACATTTCAGAAATGGTTTAACAGAAAAGCATACACTGCATTAACGAAACACCATGCTGTAGGGTAACCCACTCTGCTCTTGCCTTGAATTTTCTTGCTTTTCCTTCTGCATTCAGATTCTAGTTCATGTGGGCTTTCTGACAGAGGAGTCCGGGGACGTGTTCAGTCCCAAGGTGCTGAAGGGGGGTCCTCTGGGTGAGATGGTGCAATGGGCCGACATCCTGACAGCCCTCTATGTGCTGGGGCACAACCTCAAGATCTCAGTTTCCCTCAAAGAACTGCATGGGTAAGTTTAGATTTGACTTATTCTTCTCTGATCCTGTTATTTCCAAGCTGTAGGCAGAACTGCTGCAGTCAGTGCTGCAGTCAGCTTTGCGTAGTGATGTTTCTCCCATCCATGTTTAATGTGAGACTCTTTGGGGCATCTGCACAGTAATCATCTGTTGTTTTATGAAAGTGCAAACCATTAAGCATTCTTTTTAGATTGCTTTGTTTTCTATTGTGCATGCTCTGCAAGTGATCAGCAGCCCAATCGCAGTCCTGTTGCCCACACACTGCTTTCGATCACCTTCGGCCACACAGAGATAAGCTATCTCCCCTTCCTGCAGAGTGCTGTTTCAGCCTGGGGGGCTTGACAGCATCTCTACACTTTGTGCACCTCCTTCCTGCCGCAGCTCACTGACTCCAGAGTATGATAACGGGGGTTTGTCGCTCATCATCACAAACATAAGTGGTTGTGCCAGTGGATGCACACACATACATGTATACCCAACGTGCCTTCCAGTCAGGCAGACGGTTTCATACTTTCTAAAAATATAAGACTATTGATTGTCACACTAGCGTTTTCAGAGAGCAGACGCGCCCAGTCCTGCCTTGAGCATTTTCTCGACGCCGTGATCTTTCAGAGCTACTCGCCCGCTTCACGCCGACTGGTCGGGAAAATGATTGTGTACAAGACGAGATTTGCTGTCGATTCTTTTCTGACAGTGGGTGGTGTGAAGCTGGAGCAGACGGGCTGATGATAATGTGTGCTTGTTATTGAGCACTGTATGTATCCATTGCTGTAGGGAAGAGGTAAGGGCATTGATGAGGTAGAGCTGCCCTTTGATCTTAAATTTCAGGCCGTGAAGAAAAGCAGCTTTGATAAGAACAGGCTAGGGAGATCAGTGAGGTGGGGAAGATGCCGCATTGGGATTGCTTCTTCTGGCCGTGCTATTATTTACCCCACTAATTGGTGTCATGGTGTATTGAATCTGCCTCCGTTGGGAACGCCATCAGAAATGTTTAGAAATTTGCACAAGTTCTGACAGAGAGACTTACACACAAAACATGGGCCAAGGTTAAGGCTATTACTTTCCAACAGCTGAATATAGTCTGCGTGTGTGTGTGTTTATGCTACAGCAGTGAGAGACAGTTGAGATCTTAATGGTATGCTATATGATGTACATTGTGTGCAGTGGCGTTCCATTAGGGCTGATATTGGTCTATATTCATGAGGAAATGAAATGTTCAGCCTCAGAGAAAATATAATGGAGGGCTGAAATTGAAGTCAAGTGGCTTTATCAGGCTCGGACCATATTCCCTCTTTGCTCGCAGCCCCACAAAACACAACCTAGTGTACATATCTTTTTTTTTTTTTATGGGATTCTTAAATTGGCCAGTTAATGGCAGATGCCGAACATCCATAAATCCCCCTTCCTGTGACTATTAATGAATAGAAAAAGGGAGCATTTCTCTTCATCCCTTATACTCTTACTCTCCCACACGCTATTAAATTGACAGATCGTTATGTGGGTTGTGCTCCCACAGATTCCCTCAGGCTTGTATCTATTTACATTTTCTACTCTTCACTTTCCCACCCAGGCTTTGGAAAGGAGCTTAATATTACTGGATGGCCTGCTGTGGTTCTTATGTGGACGGGATTGGTGATATGTTTAGCCCTTTTCTCCGATAGACAGATTGGCCACACTGGGAGCTTAATATACAGTGGGAGTCGAGCTGTTGGTTTGCAGCATAATTGCCTCTAATTGGCAACATTCATGATCTCTGGTGGCTTCTTTGAGTAGTCACTTTGTCTGGCGTCTTTCCTTCGCTGTCCTGCTTACACAAATCAGTTCTGCACACACATCCCTCCTTCAGTCTCTTCTCCACTGCAAGATCTCTAGCTTTTTTCTCCAGTAGATGCCTCACAAAGGCATTCTGTCCTTTCCACATACTGCAAAATGTTCTCAAGGGAACATCACTTATCACACCCTTTTGGAGTAGTGTAGTTGTGATTGTTCAGTGAATGTAATTGTAATCATTTTACAGTTGCATCAGTCTCAACTCAGTATATATGCAACATTTCTCAAACAAGGTTTATCAAGTGTTCAAACATCAAACATAGCGCTGTGGTAGCCAAGCAACATCAGCTCTGCCTTAATATTATATGCTGTTTTGCTCGCAATGTTTGTCACTTGGTCGGTCTACAGCAAAATATGTCAACACCTTTTGGATGCACAGCCATGAAATGTATTCATGTTCCCCAGTGGATGAAACACTGGCTTTGGTGACCCCCTGACTTTTCCTCCAGCTCCACCAGTAGGACAGTGTTATCACATATTTTTTTTAAATGTATCAACACCTACGAAATGGATTAGCACAACATTTTGTACAGACAGGTGATGTATCTTCATGACTTTGGTCATCCCCTTGACTTTTCCTAACCATGAGGTTCAAATGTCTGTTTTTGTGTGAAATGTCTCAAGAGCTATTGGATGGATTACGGGGGAATTTGGTACACACATCCATGAGTTCACGAGGAGAAGAGTACAAGACAGATCCATGTAAAGGGTGAGCAGTAGTAATAGAACAAGGGAAGATGTGCAGTTCTGTCATCTTTCCTGGGTTTATTGTAATCGAGGTGGAGACTGAAGTGTCTGTGACATCATTTCTGTCTGTAACACCAGCGCTTGTCGCACACTGAGGGGAGGGCCCTACGGCAGTTTGCAGAGCGGCAAAGACAGCTGTCACTTCCGCTTGGGGATCTCCCCTCATCTCCTCTCAGAGCGACACGGGTAATTAGCCGGCGACAGAGCATGGCATCTCAACACCTGAGGGGTGGTGGATGGGAGGTGGGGGATGGAGTGAGAAAACAGAAGAGGGAGAGAATAAGGAGGGTGGAGGTGTAGCTGCAGCCTGTCAGGTTTAGCAACTTCTGCCAGCAGAAGGGAGAAGTGATGTATGCACACACTACCACCCAGTAATCTGAAGAAACTAATATTTTAGTCCTGTGCTCAAAATCCATAGGATACAGGATGGCTCCATACTCCACTCATAGTCTCTCTCACGCTGATATTATTTTACTGTTTTCACATACTTCTGTATCCCAGGATGTGAGTGCCGCTGAGCGTAGACATTTTGCAGATGGCCGTTCTGTATCAATTATGTGTAGTGGGCTTATGTGGAGCAGTTGACAGAGCGCATTAACACCAGTCACCAGGTAATCTCACCTTGTTTCTCCCTGCAAACACAGAGACGTGCTTGAATTGTGTGATCAGTCACCCTGCAGGATGACAAGCGCTAACCCTAAAAAATAATTTAACAAATGTCAAATGGGAGATCACTTGCGTCTGTAATCCAGCAGCCGAGCCTGAAAGGTGGATGTAATGACAGGCGTGTGGGGCATTCTGAAGTGTGAAATAAGAAACCTGAAATCAAAGTCTTATTATACTGCCAGTCTCAGGTTGTGCTGATGCACTCTCACCCTGCAGCCTTCTGATTGATGTGTCTTTGTTTCCATGCTTTGAGATGAAAAGCAAAACAGCAGCATTGTTAAAAATAGCCAGAATCGGCCATTAGTGAGATAACGTCCCAAGGATTTGTCTTCAGTTTGGATGCTGACTAATTGAGGTTAACAGCACAGTACTTGTGTGTTGCAACTGACATTTGCGTGACATTCCTTAATTTTGATTACTATGGAGCATTTAGTTTCCTAAAATACAACTGCGGACAGCGTTTCTAAATATATGTTACCCTTATGGCTCAGCATTTTTTTTAACAGATTTTCACTTTAAAATACTACATTTTTAAAGGACCAAAAATGTTTAGACCAATATTTTTTACACATATTTTATGCCTCTACACCCAAATTTGTTATATTTTCAGCAGCATAAGGGCACTTTTTACCGCAGTTTAAGAAAATTAGGTCCTCCTTGTGATGTTGACAGCTCAGAAAGCTTCAAGAGAAGAAACTGCAAATAAGCTGCTAATTTTGCACTTCGGTCCCTCTTAGTAAGTTAAAAAAAAAAAAACTAAAATCACAGTTTACCCCACACATTTGTATTAATGATGTTTTTCCCCTCATGAATGCAGATTTATTTCCTGTTTTCTTTTTTAAATAGAAGCTGAAAATAATGAGCCCTGGTTACTCTCACTCTTACTTCACACAGCTGTTGGACACAAGGTAGGAGACAGTTTTGCCCCTGCGCTGTGATAGAGACCATTTTTACAAGCTGTTTTAAGATGAGTTTTGAGCCAGATCTTGCACATCAAAGTGGCGCTTCAGCCATATCTGATCATAACAGCGTCAACATCTGAGTTTTTGTCTTCTCCTGCTATCCTGCTGTCTCAAGTGTCCGATTAGCATGCCAGACCCAGCTCCCTCTGCTTCACAAAACTTCCCATCAGCTCTCCTCTATGCCCATGTCATTCCCCTCACACTGCGAGCCCTCTCTGCAGCCGCCCTGCAGCCCTCAGTAAACTCCATGCCCCCAGCCTCAGCCCCTCAATGTGCCTGGAAATCTCCCTCAGCCAATTCCCCTCACTGCTGGACATGTGCGCCCTTCTTTTAAGGAGTAATGCAGTGTGACTATGGAGTCTCTTACACTCGTTTGTTTCTCTTGCTCTCTCCCTTTCCCCAACTGGTGAGTTGCCATGGTGCCAGTGGCCAGCTGTGAAACAGAGAAATTGTGCCCGATGGTGGTTGTCAAATAGCGTCCTGAAATGCACGCAAGCTGCTTTTGTTCTTCTCTTTGCAGTCCTTCTCCAACAACTTTTTTTTTCCTCTCTGAAGTCTGAGCAGGCCATCAAAGTCACTTTCATACTTTGTTTTTGCATGTGTGTCTTCATGAATAATGAGGATTTTATCTTATTAAGTACAAAAATGAAATGAGTTTATCCTGCTTGCAATTATTGTCTCTGTAGCCAGAGCCTGATGTGCCTCCATGCCAACTCCAGCATCGTCCAAAAGCTTTTAAAACACATTAGATACATAAAGTTGTACGCAGTGACATATATTATTTATTA